TTGCCACCTGAGCTGAGACAGTAACTGCAAGGGGTGCAAGTCACTGGAGAATGCTCATTGTGGATGGACTCTTTAGAAATATTAACCATTAAGTTCAAGGTCATCTCTACTGAGCATGTGCAAATTGTAATTTTTTAAGCCTTAAAAATGGGTCAAATAAGGGGAAATGTTCATGAGGAAAGCAAAAGGCATCCCACTTGCTTCAGCCCTACCCATACCAACATTTAAGGGTCTCATATTTCAAGTTTCTCAAGTTAAAGGTTAACATAACATTTTAAAATGGTAGAACAATGTGTTTTGATGTAATGAGGTGTAAGGATTTCTTCAGGGCGATATCTTTTATTGGATCAACCATGTAGTTGAAGTAAAGTTAGACAAACTTTCAAAAGCAAGACATTCTTTGTCACTTCTCTCTACCTGTCTAACTTTATGTCTACTTGTCTAACTTTATCCCATTTACATAGCTTGTCCAAAAAAAGATATTACACTAAGAAATCCTTGTCTCAAGTAACTTCTGGTCCATCACAGTTAAAACATCACTCTTTCACTACCATGTTGATGCGGCCTCATTCTCAGAAATGGCTGATGATTTTGATTAAACATTTTTCCCCACAAACATCACCTAAACTTACGTGCAACTAAAATCAAGAGTTTTAAAATGGGAAGTGTCAACATCTTTGTAGACAGCACTAGAAACACATATTATTATGCATTGTATACTTTAACTTTTCTAATTAAACTCTATTCTATTCTTCTGTATTGAAAAAACGGTAATAATGGTGAAACCAATACAGTTAGATTGTTCTACAGTGCTACCTCTCATTAACCACAGAGATAAAATTACTGGAATAAAAAGAAAAATGACTTGTGCTAAAAGACTCCTATTCTACAAGTGAAAGACAAATTAAATATATGAGATTTAAAAACACAATACTGTTACTAAAAATGTAATTTGCACTTACAGTTTGAAATGAAATTGTGGACATTAATCAACTACATTATAATAATGTGTATTTGGATCAAAAGGTTTAATTATGCCTTGAGCATTAGCAGTTACCCACATATTTTAGATAGTCAGTTTATTTCTCTATCTCTTCCTTTCTCTCTCTCAGACTGCTTAGTTCAAATAACCTTACAGTGTTCGTGTTCAAGAGGAGGAAAGAGTTATAATTGCTTCCATTGTATAATAGCTCAGAACTGCAATGTGTTTAATAATATAACAGCAAACACTTTACGTGCCTTTTGTAGATGCATTATGAAAAGAATGCATAGTACAGCATAACATTTACAAAAGATCTTATCTTAGGCTTGGTCTAGTGTGTCCTGGATTGCCATCTGGTTAAATTTAACAAGAAAAAAAAAAGTCACTGTCTTCCTATTCAATTCTATTCAGTGAATTAATATAGGTGTGATTTTGCATTGCTTACTCTTACAAGGAATCCCATCAGCAACCACTATCTTAGTCATCTGAGTAAAAGACAGCAGGATAGAACCTACACCAAATATCTCATCATGTCAAGAACTACCCACCAGGGCAAGTAAACTATTCATAACAAAACCCTTGGGTTGGTTTTAAATAAGTACCTTTCAGAGGCAAAACAAGCATTATAATGTTGCAACTTTTCTTTTTTCTAAATCAAGATTACTACAGTTTGCAATGCAACCTATGTGTATTCAGCAAAGCTACTCTTTCTGGGTCCTAACTTAAGGCCTTACTGATAGCTTATCCTTGCAAGAAAGACAGCTTCAATCTCATAGATTCATAGATGTTAGGGTCGGAAGGGACCTACCTCAATAGATCATCGAGTCCGACCCCCTGCATAAGCAGGAAAGAGGGCTGGGTCTAGGTGAGCCCAGCTAGATACTCGTCTAACCTCCTCTTGAAGACCCCCAGGGTAGGGGGGGAGAGCACCACCTCCCTTGGGAGCCCGTTCCAGACCTTGGCCACTCGAACTGTGAAGAAGTTCTTCCTAATGTCCAATCTAAATCTGCTCTCTGCTAGCTTGTGGCCATTATTTCTTGTAACCCCCGGGGGCGCCTTGGTGAATAAATACTCACCAATTCCCTTCTGTGCCCCCATGATGAACTTATAGGCAGCCACAAGGTCGCCTCTCAACCTTCTCTTGCGGAGGCTGAAAAGGTCCAGTTTCTCTAGTCTCTCCTCGTAGGGCTTGGTCTGCAGGCCCTTAACCATACGAGTGGCCCTTCTCTGGACCCTCTCCAGGTTATCTGCATCCCTCTTGAATTGTGGTGCCCAGAATTGCACGCAGTACTCCAACTGCGGTCTGACCAGCGCCCGATAGAGGGGAAGTATCACCTCCTTGGACCTATTCGTCATGCATCTGCTGATGCACGATAAAGTGCCATTGGCTTTTCTGATGGCTTCGTCACACTGCCGACTCATGTTCATCTTAGAGTCCACTAGGACTCCAAGATCCCTTTCCACTTCCATGCCACCCAGCAGGTCATTCCCTAGGCTGTAGGTGTGCTGGACATTTTTCCTCCCTAGGTGCAGCACTTTGCATTTCTCCTTGTTGAACTGCATTCTGTTGTTTTCTGCCCACTTGTCTAACCTGTCCAGGTCTGCTTGCAGCTGTTCCCTGCCCTCCGGCATGTCCACTTCTCCCCATAGCTTTGTGTCATCTGCAAACTTGGACAGAGTACATTTCACTCCCTCGTCCAAGTCGCTGATGAAGACATTAAAGAGTATCGGTCCAAGGACCGATGTTGGTATATTTGCTAAATGACTTGATTATAATACAAAAAACAGACTGGATTCTAGGTGAAGTAACAATTAGGACCCTGCAGGTTAAGCATGAAAATAAGTGTTTAACTTTATTTTAATCATTTTACTTAGTCATAAGAATCTACAAGTAATAACATATAATACACTGAACTGTATTCATATGTTCTGTTTGAATGCATATTTAAGAATGAGATCAATAAAGGCGGCACAAAAAGTTCTTCTGGAAGTACTTTCAGTTCTATTTATTACCATGAGTGAATCTATGCTTTTGAAAATGAGGTTCCAGATGATGTGGCACGTCGTATAACACAACACACATTTTTCTCCAGTTAAATGGGAGCTAAATGCTTCACTAATATGCTAAGAGGGCAGCACTATATTATCCATTTCAAGATCAAAACAAAATTAATAAAATTATTGGAATGTGCACTAATTTATAAAGTTTCAAAAAATTTCAACAAACTAGGCAAAACATAGGGTCCAAATAGTTAAAAGATAGTGTCATTAGTCCTGTAGTCATTAAAGTTAAATATACATCTCTTATTCAGATTCATAAAACAAAATCTAGCCTTCTGGAGCATCTTGACAATGCCTTCACAGTCAGTCATTTCTGCACCCGAGTTAAGGTTTTTAGCTAGAGCTAAAAATAGTCTGCACAGCTGTAAAATAGAAGAGAGACATTACCAGAAATGGCTAACTGTGAAGGGAGGAAAGGGGAGTCTAAGGAGAGCCCAGAGGGACAGGAGCACAAAATACTTACCTTCAGTGCAGGGGGAAGCTGCCCTGGTGAGAAGGACCAGCCCCAAACATTTAGGAGCACATGCTCCTTCCAGATTGGCAGAAGGAGTGTTAGTGTTGACATTTCAGGCCCTCGAGAATGGCAAAAACGAAAGTAGCAGTGGCAGACAAGAGAAGCCAGAACTGAAAGTGGCCAGATCTGTCAATCTCCTGCAAAAGACAGGAGAATGGACCAAAGTTCCTGGCCAAAAGTGGCTGGGGAAACCCTAACCTGGCATAGCCTGCTGGGAAGTGGACCGACAGAGCGGAGCGGGCATGACAGAGGCTGGAGGCAGCAAAAAGACTGCAAAAAGGAGAAGTGGCCATGAGTCTTAAAAGGGCCCTGCCCTTTTGAGACCACTTTGGCAGGGGGGAGGGGGTGGGTTTCTTTTCTCTTGGTTTAGATTTTTTTTTCCCCTCTCCTCCTTTCTTGCTGGACTATGTTGTGCTAAAGGAAAAAATGAGAGAAGGAATGTAGCTGGCCTGCCCTAGCAGAAAGCTGTTTAAGTAAAGTCTGTCCTGAGAGAGACATTGGGCTTGACCAAGGGTCTGGGCCCAGAGCTGGGACTTGAAGCTGAGAGACTGGAAATTCACAAGACTGTATGAATTAGATGGCCATGAACGGTTTGATGGACACATTGAGGAAGGAAGCAATTTAGGCTTAGTTCAGTTGTGGACTTATGACCTTTATTTTCTGGAAAGAACTTTTGATTGAAGTCAACTAGCCTGAGCAGAGGACAAATTGGTTTGAGTTTAATTTTTGTGGAGACCCAGAATGAACGGATTTAAATTGATTATGAAGTTCCTGAACAGAAAGTTGATTTTGTAGTTATCCTTAATTGGACTTGATTTGGACTGATTTAAATTAAGTGCCATTTGACATAGCAAAGACAACCAACAATTTATTGACTTTATTGAAGACAGGACATGATAAGGGTGGGGTGTAAGGGGAGGAGGAGCCCCATGAAAAAGTATGTTGCCTCGGTGAGCGAGGAGAGTTACTGCTCAGCCTATATCCACCTCCCAATAAACATCAAGCAACATCAAGGTGCAGTGCATAAAAATGGGCATCTCAGGTCAGGTAATTGTAAAATGCTCTCATTCGCCTCACAGCTCATCCCAACAAGGTTTTAGGCCACCGTGGACTGTGGCCATATAGCATTTCCACTTGATGTTGGCAGCAAAATTACAGAAGGGACAAGGCAAGGATAAGCCCTTACTAGACACAGCTGGGGAAATTCACACACCAGGTAGGGTTTAGAGGAAACAGAGGCCAGCAGCAATGAAAAGACAGCAGTGGGGGCTACTCAGTGGCCCCTGGGGCACAGCAAGAGAAGAAGCATCTGGACAAGGAGGCAAGAAGCTCCAAAGCTCTCCCAAGAGCCAAAGAGAAACCACAGGGAAGTGGAGCCTGCTGGGTAAAGGTATAACCACAGCAAATCCCAAAGCGGAGAGGTGAGAGACAGAAGGCACTTACCTGGGTGGTCCATGGGAAGAGAGATCATGCTGGGGAGGAAGGGCCCAACTCCACCTAGAAGAGAAAAGACAGGGATATAAATATAACAAAAACATTAACTGCCGGTGCGCAGGTAAGTATAAGCATGGGCGCTGGATGCAGCCAGCTGAACACTGTACTGCACTGCACTGGGAGCTCACCAATTAAAATGAATTCACTTTTACTGGCTTGACTGGGTGTCTTCTGATAACAGCTCTCATTGGGGAATTAACTTTTCATTCTTCCATCACATCAAGGTATGTCATTAATCACCCTCACCCCGGCCCTGATCACATATACAAAGACAGACAATAATCAATTTTAAAATCCAGAACACCAGGAAAAAATAAAGAAGAGCTGAAAAACTGAAAATGCTTGAAAACAGGCAAAGCTTTTTTCCACCCCCATAAATTAGACAAAAAAAGGAACAAGTAATCAGATCAAGAAACAATAATATCCAAAAGAATAAGATAGAACATACATACACACAAACTTGAGCTGGGTAAAAAAAAAGTGTTTATTATTTTTCAGAGGGTTGTTTTTTTTTAATTCTACAAAAATGTGTCATTTTTCCAACAGAAACACAATTCTGTGAAATTTAAACTTTTGAAACCTCAATTGTTTTTTGATTCTTCTTTTCTCATCCAGAAAAAGGAAAATATATCAGATCAAAATAAAAATATCCTGCTTGTGTATTCATAGAAAAAGTAGCTGTTTTGATATAACAAGCTTAATTGGACTATTTGAACCAGTTCAAATTCCAACTTCTTTCCCAGTTTTGGATCCCTGTTATGTTTTCTTTTAAAAGCCTGATCCCAGATTCCATGATTGTTCATATCTTGAGGTAGGCACCTGTGCCATTATTTGTCCATAGAAGACGGAGGACACATTTGGTACTACATAAATTAATATTATTAATATTAATCTCTTATGAAATACACTAAAAAAAAATCTAGATCATAAATTCCAGAAACTCAACTAGAAGTTAACTAAAACAGAGTAAGATACAGAAATATTTCATATTGCTTTAAAATGAGCAGCTTGCCTTTGCAGTCTGAGCTGCCATTGTAGGAATTCTCCAGTTGAGAATCACAACATCTGTGCATGATTCTGTAAAGTGATAGATCTTTTTAGCTTTCATGTTCATCTCCCACAGAAGCCCCAAACATAGTATTTTATATACTTTTCAATTTTTCTAGTTAGGGAATACCAAAAACCTGCAAATATAGAATCAGCGGTTTTATAAAATCAGCTACGAGGCCATTTTGAGATGCAGTCAAAATCTGAAGCCAGATTATCATCTTCATTAAGATGAATGACAATCGATCCAGAAATCTGACATGTTATATGCAACTGGTTTGACAAACTGTCCATTTGACGTGTGCTAAATTCTTTTACCATTGTAAAAAAGTGCTGCTCTGAATGATTTGCTGGAAACACTGATGTGGTAACTAAAGAAGTAGATACCTCCAGTGTTGGCTACAAATACACCTGATTCAACAGCATGTACTTAATTTTCATTAAATGAAAATATTTTCAAATCTCACTAGTGACCCTGGCTGTGGGACATTCTTTTTTGAAGACCAAGAGAGAAAGTTGTTGTTTCACTTTCTTCACAGTCTGCCATTTTTCCTTTTTCTCCTTTTTGCCCCAGAAGTACAACCGATCCCTGTTTTCCAGGATGACCCATTTTTCCAAAAAACTCAGGATCTCCTTTAAGGCCTTGTGAAGAAGAGAAGATGATCCCGATACTAACCAAAAGCAAGCAGGAGCCAGTGAAAGAAAAGACATCTTGCCGGGAGCCACGCCTCCAGAGTTACTACTCTGTAAAGCTAGGACAGCTAGAGAAAGGGGCGGGGATGAGGAGAGACCTGGATGAATGATAGGAGAGTGACATGGCAGAGAGCGGGGAAGCAGCAAAGAATCGTGACAGCTGGAGCGACGGGGAGTCAAACGGCTATTGGATGACAGATTAAGAACAGTTTCTACTAGCAGAGATTGACTCCGTTTTGGGGACTCATCAATATAAACAAGATATAAAAGAAGGAAAAAAAACCCTGAAGAAACACAGGAAAACATAGGAGACTGGTATATACAAGTAAAATCTTTCTTTGAAGTTATATATTAAGCACACAAAAAAAAAAAATCAAAGAACTTAAAGTGAAAATGAATATATTAAACCTACCGATATAAAAGAAAAAGAGAAAAAAAAAGATAGGGGAATTTTGATATTCTGAGGCTGACGGTTATCATAAAGACTTTTATTCTTTGAGATGTGTATCCCTAAGAGAAGGGTATACAAATTTACAGCCTATTATTATTATTGTCTCTTGTTCGGTTGTTGATTCTGATTTCTTTCTATACGGGACATTATACTCACCTGAGTCCAGAGAAACTATCTGGAAAGAAGTGGAAAGGAAAATCTGAACTATTTAAGATGTGATATCTTGTTTAACTGTCTTTTATTAATGGTAATTAAAAGAGAAAATAATTGATCACTGAGTTTTTATAATAGACCAGGTAGTATTTGCATAGTCTTTTGAAGAACGTTCCAAGAATTCCGTGCTAAAAAAATTAATCAACATATTCCGGTTAAAAATCTAGTGGTGTTTATAGATTCATAGATGTAGGGTCAGAAGGGACCTTGCAGATCTTCTAGTCTGACCCCCTGCTCTGGGCAAGAGAGAAAACTGGGCTCAAATGACCCCAGCTAGGTAATCATCAAGCCTCCTCTTAAAGACCCTCAAGGTAGGAGCCAGCACTACTTCCCTTGGAAGTTGGTTCCAGATCCTAGCTGCCCTGTCTGTGAAGTAGTGCCTTCTAATGTCTAGTCTGAACCTACTCTCCAACAATTTATGGCCGTTATTCCTTCTTATACCGGGAAGCGCTCGGGGGAACAAGGTCTTTCCCATTCCCCGCTGGTCCCCGCTAGTAAACTTATAGAAGGCCACCAGGTCCCCTCTCAGCCTTCTCTTGTGAAAGCTGAACAGGTTAAAGTCCTGCAGCCTCTCCTCGTAGGGTCTACCCTGCTGTAGTCATGCGAGTGGCCCTCCTTTGGACCCTCTCAATGCTGTACACGTCCCTCCTGAAGTGCGGCGCCCAGAACTGGACGCAATACTCCAACTGCGGCCTGACCAGTGTCGCATAGAGGGGGAGGATCACCTCCTTGGCCCTGCTTGTGATGCATCTGTGGATGCACAACAAGGTGCAGTTAGTCCTCCTGACTGTGTCCTCGCATTGGCGGCCCATGTTCATCTTGGAATCGATAATGACTCCCAGATTTCTTTCTGTCACTGTGCTTTCGCAGCCTTCTCTTGTGAAAGCTGAACAGGTTAAAGTCCTGCAGCCTCTCCTCGTAGGGTCTACCCTGCTGTAGTCATGCGAGTGGCCCTCCTTTGGACCCTCTCAATGCTGTACACGTCCCTCCTGAAGTGCGGCGCCCAGAACTGGACGCAATACTCCAACTGCGGCCTGACCAGTGTCGCATAGAGGGGGAGGATCACCTCCTTGGCCCTGCTTGTGATGCATCTGTGGATGCACAACAAGGTGCAGTTAGTCCTACTGACTGTGTCCTCGCATTGGCGGCCCATGTTCATCTTGGAATCGATAATGACTCCCAGATTTCTTTCTGTCACTGTGCTTTCGAGAATAGAGTTCCCCAGCCTATAGGTATGCTGCTGGTTCTTACTGCCCAAGTTCAGG